AAGGATATTCATGAAGGATGCAAAATAGGTTATTTTTGACAAAAAACGTGGATTGTATATAGACCACAGTTTGGAGCGATATTCGACCATCATATCAAACATTGATTGGGCTAGGTAAGAGCTTAGCATTCATATGAGGAGAACGTTTGCTATTTTTCTTTCCTCCAAAACTTCCTCGATTTTCCAAAGTTTTTGTTGTCTTACTTGTTTTTATTTTATTTCATCTTATTTTCTTCTTCAAAAATGTTTATTTCGAATTTGTTTTGTGACGACGGGTTTTTTGTTTGCCGCTTCTGCGCCAGAATCCAAATATGGAATTGATCATACCATATAAGGAGTGAGCTTTCTCTACTGCAACCTCGACACTAGCATATAGAGTAAAGCTTGATATGTTTCACATCTTCACATCATGTATTTACACGTTTACATTTGATATGGTACCATGTTGGATGATTTTTGGGCAAAAACCATGTGCTATAGCCTATTACTTTGATCGCTTTCGAGGTATGTTTTCAAATATAGCATGACTTTGCAGGTTTTGGACAAAAGCAATAATTGATATAATCATACTTTACATGAGTTTGAAATATCTCTTAATATTATCTGTTAAAATATCTGTATTTTTAATCTTTCCAGTTACTGCGGTTTTTTTATTTCGGTATTGCCTTTATTATCTCCTTTTTTCTTAGTGTTTACTTTTATCAATTTTGACAATCTGTCGTAGCAGAAACAGGGTGTAGCGCTGTTGACAATATTTAGTGTATCTATGACGTCGAGGGAAGTTCATAAAAAAATGGCGAACTGATTATATTAACATGACTTATTGTTCTTGATTTGTATTCACGTCATAGCCGCCATCTTGGTTGAATGAAACGGAACTTTAATTACTAGCCTATAATCTCTTAATCTTTTATTTAAAAAAAAAATCTTGGTTGAAAAATTAGAACGGAACTCTTTGCCTTATAATTTCTTAATTTCTTAGTAAACGAAATAATATGCCCTAATTTCTTTACTGCCAGGTGCGTTGCATTTCAAGAGTCGCTATTTTTTTAAAAAAAGCCTAGAATAGTATACTATTATTGTTAAAGACGGCAAATTGAAGTCTTTTTACGTTAACGTACTTTTTACATCACTAAGTTGGACCATTTATCATTTTTGTTAGTATTAGTCATGTGAGTTTTTTTTGTTAAGGTCAAAACATGCTAGTGTTAAGTCAACACATCTCAAAATATATCTGACTATTTCTGACATTTCTACCACCTAAAACCAGAAATCAAGTATGTACAAATCACATGTTATCAATAAAAAGTAAGAAAAACCTTTATATCTATATAACTGCGTTTCGTTTTGAACCCGGAAGTCGTTTTTCTATACGTGTAATTGACGTTAATAGTCCCCTTCGTCCCCTTCACAGTTCCCTTTGCCATCTTGAAAGGTAGACGTGCCTTTGCATCGAAGCGAGACGAACTGTGAATAATTGTCCAAGGCCGGTGTTAAAAAAAGGTCTCTATCATTGCAAGCTCAGCGTTCGTCTCGCTTCGATGCAAAGGCACGGCTACCTTTCAAGATGGCGCAGGGAACTGTGAAGGGGGCAATTCAAAGGTCTGTTATCGGAGTCACCCACTATCACATTCCTTGAGCTTCATCCGCATAAAATCGCACGTAAAACAAATTGAATTACATGTGTGGGTTATGAATTACTTTGAGGAAGTTATCGATGTTTGATGATTTATGCCGGCGCGTTCGGTTTCGTTAATTAAACTAAACTAATTCATCAATAATAATCTTTTTAGACATGACGAAATAATGTAGTTTAAAGCATTTAGTTCAAGTTCCTTTTGAATACAGTTTTAGCTTTGGATTCATTAGTCATTCTGTAAGGATTTAGCTTGGGAGTTTTTCACAACAAGTTGTCGACACTAAATTGTCATGCAACCTTTATTTGGCCTTGGTGTTTCTAAAGCATCTTCACGTAGCAGTGTAATTTAATGGAAAACTAATTTATTTGTTCTTCAGTTCTATCATTAATAATTTATTCTTGCCAATGTTTTAATATATATATATAATTGTTCTCCAAATCGGTAGATAATTAGTTTTTTTAGTTTACGCCAAGTTATCTTTAACCATTATTTTATTTATGGAAATGACAAATCTAGTCTGGCCATCTTTTCAAATCGAAAACGTTTTCCTATCTATTTCGAATTTTCTATGAATCAGCTCACACATTATTTCATTCTCATCTAAACATTATTTTTGCGAATATAAAAAATAGAAATCTATGGTTTGTTCGAAATTCAAACTTATGTTAGTCGACAGGAAATTAATATTTCAGTATACAGGTACTGTTCTATACTGATTCAATTAAAATTACTTTATTGTTTTTAAAGATTACAGATTTTTTCATATATTTTCGGAAATTTTATGAATCAGTGTGATGAAGGCAGGTCTAGAAAATGAAACCAACCCTAATTTTGACCTACTAATTATTTACTTCGACTCCTTCAAGGTTTAGTTTTCATAAAAGCTATTGGTCGTTTTTGATTGCTCTGTCGTTTTAGGAACACGGTCAGTTATTATGCATGGTACTGACAATTTACTTCGGCATTTCTTCAGTCATCAGATGAAGCGGCTTTAATTTGAAAACTGAAAAAAGAACTTATGAAAAAGTTAAGTATTGTTATTATAACAGAGGAATAAAATTAATAAACAAGATCTGGCAGCTTGCCGAAAATTTAGCTGTCTAGTTAAAAACGGGACAGACTTAAATTTCATGTATTTTAGCATAAAATAAAAGCTAGAGAGTTAAATGAATTGTAAATGTTAATGATTGGTGACACAATAGGAATACAATTTAATAAATTCAAAAAATCATTAACAGACAATAGATCGAATTATTATTTTTTTAAGGGACTGATAGCAAAACAAATGGATGCAATTTGCTAATGTACGTCAAAGAGAAGATTTTCCGTGTAGATTTATATGTATGCACTAACCAGGTGGCTTCAAACATCACCCGATAAAAGAGCAAAGATCTCCGTAATCTTGTTTGTATAGAGAAGTAATCAAGGCAGTAATATTGAAACCAACTTTTCTGGTTTTCTTTTTAAAATTTAAAAAAATTGAAACGCCAACAAACTGAACGTTGAAAAATGTCCAGGAAGCGTTGATTTTGCCCTTCGGGAAAAAAAGGAGTTGGTAAGCTTTGCTATCATTCAGTAAGAGTGACACTTACGAAACGTTTGTATGCCTTACCCTGGGGATTATCTTTGACTGAATAAGCAGATAAAGACAGATAGCATAGAATACTAAGATTGTAAATATTCTATTGACGTTTAACTTGACTGGTCTGTAAGCTTCAATAGAGCAAGAAATCAACTTGGACGGCTGTAGGAGCGACAATAAGAGCAAGAAATTAACTTGGACGGCTGTAGGAGCGACAATATGAGCCAAACAACATCAACAACACCCATAATCTTCCACAGCGCCTTCATCGCGACCACAGCCTTCTGCTTTATCTGCACAGTCGTCATATCCGTTGGAAATTTTGTCGTCCTTTTTTCGATTTACAAGGACCCGGTGAAAAATCTTCGAAATCCTTCGTCGATTCTCTTCACAAACCTAGTGTTTTCGGACTTCCTGACAGGTTCTTTGTTGGCTCCTCTATTTTCATTGGACTCTCTGATGGATGTTTATGGCAAAGACAGTGTTATTATCGATGCTATCATGTTTATTCTAGGAAGTTTGTTGCTGTTTGTTAGCAACCTTACGATTACTGCAGTCTCATTTGATCGGTTGATAGCTGTAGCAAAACCGTTATACTACAAAAGCATTGTTACTACGAGAAAAATCAAAATTGTCATTGCCTTGATATGGATACTTTCGCTTTTCATCTGCCTTCTGCCGGTGTTCCAAGTTCCACGATGGCTATTCCTCTTGATTTACAGTCACAGCCATGTCTCAGTTCCCTTGGTCTCCTTGACAACCGTTTACGTCACGATTTTTAGAAAACTACGAAAGCATCGCAAACTTTTGCAGAACAATTCTAACATCAACGATGCCAATAAAGAAAATAAAGACAACAAAATGAGTAGAAGAATGCAGCGTGATCAACACCTGACGATTACCATCGTCCTAGTGATGATATTCTTCTGCACGGCATCTCTTCCATTCGTTGTGTGCGTTCACTTAACGACAGTTATTGACAACTGCCCAGACTGTTTCAGCGAGAACACGACAAGGACTATAACATCAGTGTTTTATTTCTCTGGCAGATGTATCATTTTAAACGCAGCGCTTGACCCATTTTTGTTGATACTAAGAATGTCGAAAGTTCGCCAAGCTGTTGTAGCAACATTCGGTGTTCGTCGTCTTGTTCGACCGAGATCAAGAATTACACGTGTTGCTCCAGCTCTAAGCACCATCTACGAACCAGATCTTCAGTTGACTATTCATTGATTATAACTAATAAAATTGGACTGAATTAGTGCAAAGATTTGTAGGTCTACGGTCTACTGTCACAGTGCAGGGGCGGATCCAGGATTTTTTCAAAGGGGGGGTTGTAGCATTGATTGAGGTGGTGGAGAGACATAGCAGACCAAAGGGTTAGGGAGACATAGTTTCAAGCCAGTTAAATGTCATTATTGTTACTGAGGTCAAAAATGTTTAATAGCCATTTATAGTAACAAAATATAAGTATGTGATATATATATATATAATAATAATCTACATATCATCAAGCAGTGAGGCCATGTTAAAATAAAAGCCTTCTAGGATTAGCTTTGATGAACAACTTGCATACTTCATCTGTGGGGCATCTGACATCGTAATGCATTGCCATTAAAGCTAGGTCAGGCAGACGTTGTTCCGACATCTGATCTGGAATAGGTCTTTATCTTTCTCATTAGGGAGAAGGACCGCTCTGCCTCAGCACCGTTGACATCGGTAAAGTGCAGGCAACTACAAGGAGGCTGTGGATATGTTTGGGAAGGAATCTTCATTACATACAGCAAGCGTCTCGGAGTAGTACCTTGCCATAACAACTGCCATCTTTGAAGCTCACTCTTGAGGGACTAATTGCAAATGTCATATCTGCCTCCCATTTCATCAACCCTGCAATGTTATCTGTGAGGTTCAGGTTCTTGCTGACAATTACAGATGGTATCAGTGACAGAAGATGGTGTGCATGACGTCCTTCGTCAGTTGGAAACCGCTCTTTCATCTGGCTTATAAGAGAATCGAGAAATGGAATGCAATGGCTCCTTTGTAATACACTTATGAACTTTCGCTTGGTGTGTTGTTTCGGAACCTTTAAAGTGCTGTTTTCCTTGGAACAGATTCAGTGACTCCTACATTTGCTGTCAAATCTTTTATGTCACTATACCACGCTGCAAATCTATCATCTACAGCATTTCTGGTATCCTGGAGACTTCTGATAACATCGTCAACCATTTTGTAAG